CCGACCCGGCGGGGGAGGCCCGGCCCGGCCCGGCAAGGCACAGCGGTGCGGGCCATCATGGCGGTCCCGGTGGTGCGCTCCCGCCCGCGGTGGCCGGGCTGGAGCCGGTGGTGGCAAGCCGGTGCGGGGCCGGGGCTGAGGACGGGCCTGGCCGCGGGGCTTTGTCGGTGGAGCGATGGCCGGGGAAGCCCCGCCGTAGGTTGGTTTCCTCCGCTCCCCCTTTTCCCCCCTTATTGTCCCGAGGGGAGGGGGGGGGCTCAGGGATCGTTGTCCGTCTCGGGGCAGCCTCCTCCGGGCCGCCGCTGCCTGCCCCCGCCGCCGCTGTCCGCCCCGAGCCGCCGGCCCCTCCGGGCCTCGGGGGAGGCGGTGTTTGACCTGCATTTTCTGCTTTCTCATGGTGCCCGTGCGGCGTCTTCCCCCGTAACCCCCCGCTCCCGCCGCCGGGGGCTGCAGCGCGGATCCTCCTGCGTTTCCCCGCCCGTCACGCGTGGCCGCCGTGGGGTGGGTTCCCGGCCCGCCCTGCCTTGCCTTCCTCCGGCCCCGGCTCCGCTCCGACCCCCCGCCGCCTCCTCTCCGCCGGCACCGGCAAGGTCACTGTCGCCCGGCGGCTCGTCCTTGGGTGCCGGTGACCGGAGTTCACCGCCGGGTCGGGCGGGGAGGGAAGGGAAGGAGGCGAAGTGCGAAGCCGCGTGGGGAAGCGGGGAAATGGGTGTAGCGGCGTCGGGGTAGGGGGGGGGGAGGTTCACAGCCCCCTTCCCAGCCCTGTCCCCGCGCTCCTCTGCCCCAAACTAGGATCCCCCGGGTGGGCTTTGTCTTTTGGAGAAGGGGTGGTGTGTGTTCCGCGGGTCCGTGGAGGGCACGGGGTGCTGCAGGGCTGCGGTGGCTGCTGCGGGCTCTGGCCATGATGTCATGGGAGCGTTGAGGGTACGGCCCGGCCCGGGCGAGGGGGCAAATGTCTCTCCTGGTGAGAAGGATGCAGCTGGGTCTCAAAAAAACTTGATGCTGGGCGGTGTACAGGTACATCATGGATTTCAGATGGTTCCCCCTCACCCCGACTGGGTGTTACTGCCAGAGCCTTAACCCAGAAAAGGAATTTCCTATTTCTTCACTAGAAATAGGAGATTCCCCTTTTCACTTCTATAGGAAATACCAGGATTTTTTTTTTCTTCTTCTTCTTGTGGTTGACCCAGGAAATCATTTTGTCGCCAGCCTTCTGGGTTTTGGTTTTTTGTTGTTTTTTTTTTTTTTTTTTTCTCTAGAGGTGCAGGGAGGAGGGTGTTGCTTTGCTCTGGATCCTGTGGGTAAGCGTTGAAGACAGTGACAGCAGCTGCTGTTGGCTCTGGAGCTCTGGTTGCTATGAGAGAAGCTTCAGTAGACTTGGCTGCTATCTCCAGGGAAGGACAGCAGAGCAGCCTCCATTAGTGTGGTGGTGGAGAGATGGCTGGCTCACATTCAGCAAAGGGCTTTACTTTTTGGGCCGTTTCCACAGGTCCAAAGCAGAAGCAGGGATATGTTTTGGTCCGGTGGGACAAATGCCTACAAGGTGGGTTTCATCGCTGTTCTTGAGTTAATGGAATTGTATTAAACTGTTGGCTGGAAACCCCAAGTTACCCTTTCCAGATATTTTGCTCAGTGTGAAAAGTAGGACAGCGAGAATTGATATGATCTTCCTGTTAACTGAAGGCTGCAGTCGTGTCTCTTTTGAACTCCAGTCTCCTTTCCAGCCAGTAACAGAGCCAGATGCTTTTCTTATTGTTTGTATGTCTCCTTCCTCCCCTTCCATCGCCTGGGCCCCACTTGCCTTATTGACTGGAATTTCTGCTGTGTGCAGTGGGTGTGTGCAGCAGACACCAGCCTGCTAGTGCTGAGAAGGGATTTTCCATTCACAGACCAGGGAACAGTCAAAATAAAGGCCCGGCTCAACTTTGGGACTGCAAACAGAGAGCAGGGAGAGGAGTTTCCCCTCTGCTGCAGGGTAAAATGTATCCCCTGTGCTTCTTAGGCGTTTGTATTTTAAAATGTGTAGAAAATGCTTCTCTGCTGTGGAATAGTGGGGTGAAATCTCCTCTGAATAATAAGGGAGATTTTTCTCGTTTGGTTGACTCAAATGCTTGATGAAGGAATAGTTTGCAGGAGGCCATTTTTGACGTGACTGTGTATTGTGGAATCTGCCAGCTCCTATCCCCACACTCTGTCTACTTCACTGCAATAGCTTCCTTCTTTTTTTTTTTTTTTTTTTTTTAAAGGAAGAATGAGTGCTTTTCTTATCAGCTTAACTAACCATTTGGCACTGGCTGCTGTCTGTATGGTATTATATTGTTGACTTGGAGCTATCGGTGTATTCCAGGGCATTTTTTAAAGATGAAACTGTTGGTTGAGGTATGCAGTATGGGAAATGGGAATACGTTCGCGTTAGAAAACAACTGCCATCTTTGTAAACTAACACCTATAATGGGGAGCCCCTTGCCCTGGCCTGCATTACTGAACTGAGAATTACCATGAGCTTGAAGCAAAAATTCCAGGACCAGAATAATGTGAGAGAGATTAAAATATGCCCTTAAATCCGCTTGACTGGCAACAGTCCTGGGGTAGATGCCAAACTCTAAGTAGCTCTTATATTTGAGGGTCTGTAGCACATAAATTGTTTCAGGCAACTTTTAACCCACCTAAAATTCATCCGTCACTGGGGCTGAATGTGGTATCTGCTGCCTAGTATGGAGTGGCATGACAACAGTAATGGACTTAGAATTTTGTGAGTATGAAAAACTAGCTCCTTGGTTTAATAAAATACAGCAAAGTGATTTTCATGGTCCCTTAGTCTTTGTTTACAGTCTCTCTGTACGTTGTTTACAGTCTCTCTGTATGTTATAATGGGGAATTAATCTGCTGCCTCGCATCTTGTTGAATAACTGGCACCGCTTTGACAAGGCCCTGGCTTTTCCTTTTACTGTCATATCCCAAGTGACCTGAAAGTAATATTCCTTAGCTAATGTCGTCTGCAATTTCACCACTCCAAGGTGAGGCAGTGAAATCCCACATACGTTTATATCCTTTTTTAGAAAGAGGACTCAGTTACAGCCAGATTTTATTTTGAAAAGTAATAGGATAAAGTTGAAAAAACCCACAGGAAAGAGATGGCATCAAACTGGCATCTCAGAATGTGCAAAAGTTTATGCTCTTTTTTGGGTGGGGGTGGGGAATCCAACAACAACTGCTGATTTAAATTTTCCAGATGTTCCTGAAGTAAAAAAAAAAAAAATAAATTTTTAATTCAGACTTCCAGGTGCAAAGCATGCAAGGGAAAACTAAATGTGTGGTGTCCCAGCCATGTTATTTATGAGTCTGACTGGTCTATTCTTTCTCCCATTTTGGGTGATCAGACTTTTCAAACTTGTTTTGAATGATGTGATGAGATAAAAATGTTTCTATCTATTCTGGCAATAGTAAAACAAACATAATGAGTGTTCAGAGGTTTGAAACTTCAAAAATCATTGTTCTCATGGCAATATTACTGTATTACAGATGCACATTTGTGTTCTTACTCTGGTGCTGCTTGTATGTGTAACTGAAATCTTGTAGTATAAAAGAAAGGTTGCAACAGGCAAAGTTTTTTTATATATACAAGATGTAGTAGTGGTACTTGAGTTGAAAGCATTAAATGTATGTTTAAATATATACGATGCGAGATACTAAGTCTCAGTTGCCTCAATGAAACTAAACCTCCTATTTGATTTTAAAATAAAGACTTTGTTGCATTTTACTTGTCTATTTAGTTGTTTTTTTCTCTTCCAAATTAAAGAAAAAAAAAAGCTCTGAATGTTAAAGCTGTTGCAGATCTACAGCCAGCCTTTGGCTTCTATGACCAACTTATGGC